AACTGATTTGTTCCATTTATGAAAACATCTAAACAAGCTTTTGGATGGATTTTCCACAATTATCCTGATGTTTAACAATTAGCATTTATTTTTCCAATTTTCCTCTCTTCTCTTAGCTATTTTAGTAAATGTTGTTATGGCTAAAGGTTAAAAAAAAATAGAATAGCTGGGTCCAAAGCTGGGCGATACTTTAAGACTATTGATTATTTTTGCCAAATTATGCTATCAAACTGCACACATTTATACTAATACTTACTGGTACTGGTATTCTTCTTCCCCTAACTGACCTTTGCTAATTTGGCAGTCTCCAAATATTATCCCATTTTATGGATTTGACCACAGTGAGACTGAACATTTGTTCCAATGTTTTTAACTATTAATATTTTTCTCTTGAAAAATTGCTCATTTGTGCCCTTCTGCACAGTTTTCTATTGGGGTTTTTTCTTTCTCATTGACTCATAAAATATTTATAAATATGAAGTGTATTAGCCATGTAATATATAATGTGAACAGCTCTCCCCTCTGTTTTTACTGTTTATGGTGGGGTTTCAGAAAACCATTTTATACCTTTGTGTTTTCTGCATTTCTTGTTTAATTTACCTATCACTGATATGGCATTATAGTTCATTTGCTTTAAAGAATTATTAAAAAGAAGGTTGTATCCCCCAAACCCTCTCCAAAGCATACTATGAGCATCCAGGGGAAACGTGTAAATGCAACATCATCAGTGTCTCTATCCCCACCTCAGAAAGCTGTAAAGAGCACAATTTTATTAGATCATTATGGGCCCTTATGAATTTTGGCAGATGTTTAACTTGTAGGCAAATATATCCAAAGCCAACTCACAATCTACTGTGAAGTTGGCGACAAAGGGCGAGATTTTTTTTTTTTAAGTCCTGCTAAAAGAACTTACGTCTCTTCTACCACTAAATTATGACATCTTATTTCACAGAGTTAATAGCATCTAATGGTTCTATCTCCAGGTAATGTAATCCAGCTGGAAATGCAAAGGTATGTGAAGCCCATGTTTTAAAACAAAAGAGTATTTTTCTCTAGCCAGTAAATAAAAGTGATTTTTCAGCTATAAAAGGACAAAAGGTTTTGAAATTATCCCCTCGGGCAGGGTTTCCTAGACTTGTTTTTTTGGCATTTAGCCATGGAGCCAGCCCAGCATCTTCCAAACTTCTTCCATTTTTGTAGCAGTGTGAAGAGTTCGCTGGATAAGATGAGCGTCACCCCCGGTGTGATGATTAATGCCTGGGGTCCTCTCAACCTAGAGGCAGTGGCAACCAGATGTCTAAAAGTGTCATCAGCAGATCATTGATCAGCACAGAGGAAGAACCAAAAACTGATTGTTTTCCCTTTTAAATATCTTTTTTTTTATTTTTTTGTTCTTATGTTAATACCCATACATTACATCATTAGTTTTAGATGAAGTGTTCCATGATTCATTGTTTGCGCACAACACCCAGTGCTCCATGCAGAATGTGCCCTCCTCAATACCCACCACCAGGCTAACCCATCCTCCCACCCCCCCTCCCCTCTAGAACCCTGTTTGTTTTTCAGAGTCCATCGTCTCTCATGGTTCGTCCACCCCTCCGATTTCCCCCGCTTCATTCTTCCCCTCCCGCTACCTTCTTCTTCTTTTTTTTTTCTTAACATATATTGCACTATTTGTTTCAGAGGTACAGATCTCTGATTCAACAGTCTTGCACAATTCACAGCACTTACCAGAGCACATACCCTCCCCAGTGTCTATCACCCAGTCACCCCATCCCTCCCACCCCACCCCCCACTCCAACAACACTCTGTTTCCTGCGATTAAGAATTCCTCATATCAGTGAGATCATATGATACATGTCTTTCTCTGTTTGACTTATTTCACTCAACATAATACCCTCCAGTTCCTTTTAAATATCTTCACTGCTCTCTCAAGGTTGTATGTTTCCTTTTTGAGGAAAAGCATGTAACACTTAACACCATAAATGTAACAAGAGCAAATGACTCATAGCTTCATTGAGAAGTTGTCAAAAATGTTGAACTTAACTAAAGTATTATTCATCCCATTTCCAAGGTTTAAATAGCTTTGTGACATCGGGTCTCCCTTTTTGATTTTCTATATATGTTTCATAGCCCTGAAACTGAAGAGTGCTCTTGTCCGTTCTCATTGCTCTATTGCAAGAAGCGATGGTCCAGCCCCTGGTCCCAGTCCCCTTTCTTATGATATGGTTATTGCTAGTGTCAGAGGATAACATTATATGAATAACTGAGAACAATCTGCCTTAAAGTGTGTCTTAAGGAATTAGCACCATGTTGGTGCATTGTGTGAATTACCAATGATAAGATTAACAGCAACAACAATCACTTGTGACATCCCAGTCAGTGCTCTAAATACCTAGGCATGTGTAATCACTTCACCCTGACAGTAACTCTGTGGGGTGGGAGTCATTGTTGTCCCTATGCTGTAGATGAGAACAGCCAGTCACACAAAGGGAAGTAGTTGAGCCAGCACTTGAACATGAGGAAACTGACTCAAGAGCCTGCCCTCTGGACTTGATTAAATTGGTAGGACAACTCCACAAGATTGGTGACGGTATCCTCATTTTACAGATGAGAAGTCGAGGCTCGGAAAGGTTAATAACTTTGCAACAACTTCTCACATATGTGGGAAGTAGCAGGAGTTTGGTTTCAAACCCTCATTCCAAAACCTTCCCATGCTTTTCCCATTACACCATGTTCCTTACGTTGCTACATGTGCCTTGTATTCAGGGCTCTATTCATTTTGGAGAGAGCTTAGAGTTGGCAATAGACAGGTGCTTAAGTGGGCCTCTTGCACTTCCTTCTGGTTCTTTTTTGCTCAGAAACCTACCTGTTCAGCTGGCATTCGTCATTGGTGTGAATGCCATGATATGAACTGCCTCTCCTTCTATGGAGTAGCTGTAGGATTAGGCTTCCCAGTTTCCCAGGTTATTCCTGCATCGGGGACTTTGTGGTTGCTGACCCTTGGCTTGGAAAACTTTGTCCCCACATCTCAGCGTGGCCAACTCCTTCTCATGTGTCATCTCAGATGTCATCGTGATCTGACGACCTATATTCATTTCCTGAGGCTGCCATAACATATTACCATAAACTGAGTGGCTTAAAACAACAGAAATTTATTCTCTCATAGTCCTGGTTGCCAGAAGTCCAAAATCAAGGTGTTGGCAGCGTCATCCTTCCTCTGAAGGCTCTAGGGGAGAATATTTCCTTGCCTCTTTCAACTTCAGGTGGCTCCATATGTTCCCTCCCTGGTGGTAGCATAATTCCAATCTCTGTCTCTGTCTTTTTTTTTTATAATTTTTTTTTATTATGTTATGTTAGTCACCAAACAGCACATCATTAGTTTTTGATGTAGTGTTCCATGATTCATTGTTTGCGTATATCACCCATTGCTCCATGCAATATGTGCCCTCCTTAATACCCATCACCGGGCTCACCCATCCCCCTACCCCCCTCCCCTCTAAAACCCTCAGTTTGATTCCCGGAGTCATAGTCTCTCCTGGTTCGTCTCCGTCTCTGATTCCCCGACCCTTCATTTTTTCCTTCCTTCTCCTAATGTCCTCCATGCTATTCCTTATGTTCCACAAATAAGTGAAACCATATGATAATTGACTTTCTCTGCTTGACTTATTTCACTTACCATAATCTCCTCCAGTCCCATCCATGTTGATGTAAAAGTTGGGTATTCATCCTTTCTGATGGCTGAGTAATATTCCCTTGTATATATGGACCACATCTTCTTTATCCATTCGTCTGTTGAAGGGCATCTCGGCTCCTTCCACAGTTTCGCTATTGTGGACTGCTGCAGTGCATGTGGCCCTTCTTTTCCCTACATCTCTGTCTTCAGGGTAAATACCCAGTAGTGCAATTGCTGGGTCATAGGGCAGCTCTATTTTTAACTTTTTGAGGAACCTCCACACTGTTTTCCAAAGTGGCTGTACCAACTTGCATTCCCACCAACAGTGTAAGAGGGTTCCCCTTTCTCCACAACCTCTCCAACATTTGTTGTTTCTTGCCTTGTCAATTTTTGCCATTCTAATTTTGGTGTAAGGTGGTATCTCAATGTGGTTTTGATTTGAATTCCCCTGATGGCTAATGATGTTGAACATTTTTTCATGTGTCTGTTAGCCATTTGTATGTCTTTTTTGGAGAAGAGTTTGTTCATGTCTTCTGCCCATTTTTTGACTTGATTATTTGTTTTTTGGGTGTTGAGTTTGAGAAGTTCTTTACATAACCTGCTCCTTTGTATTTCTCCTCTCTGTGTCTTCTCCTCTCCTTCGAAAAACACTTGTCATTGGATTTAAGGTCCACCTGGATAACCCAGGATGATCTCATCTCAAGGTCCTTAATTCTATTGGCAAGACTGTTTCCCCAAATAAGGTCACATTCACAGGATCTGGGTGAGCATATCTTTTGGGAAAGCCACCACTAACCCTCCTGTAGATAAACTACACTACACTCTAAGTAATAGAGTTTTTGCTGCTGTCATACTCCATGACTTTTTTGCATAGCCCTTGTCCTTATTTAATGCATCTTGTTCTCTCATCTACTTTTCCATTGCCAGTCCCTACCTACTTGAATTCAAGCTTATGAATAAAGAGCTGTCTTGTTCCCTGCTGTATCCCTAGCACCTAGACCAGTGTTTGGTATATTGTAAGGATCACCAAATTACTGAATGAATGAATGATGGCGTTGGGCAACTGTAATGTCACCTTGGCTCTTTGGTACTTTCCACAACTTCCAGGATTGTATTTTATTTTTTGATGTTATTTTATGTTATTTGAATTTCAGTTGGGTTTTTTTTTGGAAATGCAAGTATATGATAGGACATGTATTTATCACGATGGATAAATATATCCAACCATTTCAACATTCAATTGCTAACTGGTCTTCATAGTTCATTTAGCTTTTACTTTTCCCCTAGGAATAATTCCTCAGCAGAATACTTCTTTCTTCCTTAGGCTCCGATCACCTCCGGGAAAAAGATGGCCTCTGGGCTGTCTTGGTCTGGCTTTCCATATTGGCTGCCCGGAAGCAGAGTGTGGAGGAAATCGTCCGAGATCACTGGGCCAAATTTGGCCGCCACTATTATTGCAGGTGAGAAGGGTAGGGACCCTGGGGAGCTGCTCTTAAAGGAAAGTGGTGGGCTAGAACCTTAAGAAGGAGGCAGCTTTCAGGACAGTCTGAGGAACACAGGGGCTGGGTCCTTGACAGGACCTCCAAACAGGAAGGCATAAATTTCCCCTCCCCTGGTGACATTCCTCTGTGATCTTTTCATCCGTGCCTATAAGGTGGGCAGCCATTCCAAGGGGGACTCTGAACTGCGGAACCTTGAAAGTCCTTTAGTGCCCATGACAGTTTTATAGTCCAATCGGGGGCTCTCCTTGTTAGTTCTCCACCCATAATTATCAAGGGAGGGAGGCAGAGGCAAAGCTGTGACAGGTCGGACTGCTTTTGTAATCCTCTCCTTCCCTCTGTCTTACTTGCCTGCTAACGGTCCAACAATGTCTAAGGTGCCCTCTGAAGGGGCCATATGGTTCAGGAGCCCCACCTTTTGCTAAAGTGTTGTCCCTATGAAAGGAGATACAGAAGAGGGAACTATTACCCTGGGAGGGAGGAAGGGCAAAGGTCAGTGGCTAAGAGCTCAGGGTTGGGGGGCTCTATATCACTTTCCTGTTTTTGAAATAAGTGAGGGGGCAGAGTCTTTTGGCTGCCTGGTTGCCTGCTAGATATGTGTACCTAGATATGATAGGTTTGTGTTCCGGGTACCAAGCCATGGTCTTGGGGGAGCAGTGATAGGCAAGGATGTTAACTGTGGAGAACCTGGGGATCTGGCAAGGGAATCCTTGGGTATCCTCAGACACTCTCTCTGTTTGGAAAACAGAAATTGTGGCTCCTTTGCTTTGTTTATGAATAGTTAACTACTTTGGGTGTTTGGTTATGTTTTAAGAGCTTAAGGAACAGAAAGAAAGCCTTAGACTTCCCTTATAAGGTGATTGTTTCTTCTCTTAAGAACTCGTTTACTTAGATAAATATCAGAGAATAAGAAAGCCCGTGATAGGATTCATTACTGTCAAAAAGATTGCAGTGCTCTGGGAAATGTTGACAGTGCCCTAATAGTCTTTTCTCCAGTTTAGTCAAGAAGGCAGAGGTTGTTAACTGCCTGAAAACCACCTCAAATGATTCCTTGTTTTTTTTTTCTTTTAAAGATTCTATTTATTTATTTGACAGACAGAGAGAGACAGGAAGAAAGGGAACATAAGCAGGGGGAGTGGGAGAGGGAGAAGCAAGCTCCCCACTGAGCAGGGAGCCTGATGCGGGCTCGATCCTTGGACCCTGGGATCATGACCTGAGCCAAAGGCAGACGCTCAACGACTGAGCCACCCAGTTGCCCCTACTTACTAGTATTTCTAACTAGTGCCAAAATATCCTGATTCTTGTGGGCCTTTTTGGCATACCAGGGAAGTAACTGGCACAACAAAACTTTCTATTGCACAAAGCTGTTCCAAAAAAGTCCAACCTGATAAAATATGTTATGATTGCCAACCTCTGGCTTAGTGAGATCACTTTGAGTTAGGGATGTGTTCCTCATAATTTGTGCAATGATTATCTAGCTTTCTGCCAGTGTTTTGAAGACGTGGTGTTCTGATAAGTGTATTTATAATATAGTTCATTTTTTTGTGTGTGGCCAAGAGCTTACATGATAATTACATTTTTCATAACAAATACCATATTAGAGAATATAATGCAATGGAGATTTAAATTCTTGTAGAACATTGACTTATGTTTCAGATTTCTGTCCAAAGAGATCCCAGAGATAAAGAAAAAGGGAGGAGGGAATAGGTAGGATGAAAGGTAAATACTTTTTTTTTTTTCAGCCTCCAGCAGATATAGGTTGAGAGATCCTTGTGGAATAAAATGACTTCTAGCCTGTTCTTTTTGGTGGGGAGGAGATAATTACACAGTTTTGTTTGACTTATTTCTGAGCCTGAAGTTGTGTCTGGGAACCCAGATGATTTTCCTTGTGTGAGTGGACCCCAGAAGGTACTCTCCATTGAAAGATTTCGTCCCTTGAAAGTGTGTTGTGGTGGTCAGAGGGGGTGGTTTGCGGTAGCGAAGGGGGAGCCGTCCCAGAGTCTGCTTGTGTTTGAAGATGAGCATTTGAGCAGGCTGGTCTGACCACGTCAGTCATAGACCGAATGTGAACTGTCCCCTTAGCGGATTTTCTCAACCTCTGAATCTCTTTCAGTGCCCCTCGGTATCCTAATAAACCCTCTATCCCATCCTCCTGCCCCTCTCTGCTTGGTTGGGTCTTGATCTTCCCCCAGAATACTATCTTTAAACAGAATTTAGGCTTAGAACACATCCACTGCTGAGAATGTTCTGAGACAGTTCCCAGTTGTTTTGTTTCTGAGGCTGGGGAGGGCACATCTGTGTAGGAGGGAGAGATTACAAGACGGAGATACAGGGACAGGGGACCCACTGCTAGAAATGGCCTCATTCCATGTTTTCCATTTTGGCTAAAACCCTGATGTTTACTCAAAGTCTTAAAAGATCTTGGGTGAAGAAAAAGTAACAGTGATTCAAGTCTTCCTTCTTTCAGCTGGCTGGGAACTCATATCTTGTTCCTGTGTCACACAGAGTACAGTGTGAGATCCCATCAGAGCCATGTGGGCACAGCTGCCCCTTGAGGGCTTCCTTCTTAAACAGACCCCCTTGGGTGTGCCATTTGGTTTTGGTCAAGACTATCTGACACTGGGGAAGACTCTACGGTTTCCTTATGGTAGTGACTAAGAAGAAAATCAATTAATAGTTTTAAGCAACGGTGTCTGGCATTGGGCCAACTACTTGATATGCATTATGGTATTTAAACCCTACAACAACAAATGAGATAGGTGTTATTTTTAGTCTTTTTTTTCCTATTCACCTCCCAGCCCCATTGTTACATTTGATGTTCTTGGCTAGGAGGACTTTTTTTTAATGGAACAATTGTGGTATTTCTTCCAAGTTTCCAAGAGAGTTTTATGGTACGTTGATGTCCCTTCCTCCTTCTCTCTTCACCTCCCTTGATTCCTCTCTCTCCTTCCTTCCTCCCTCCCTTCTCTTCCTCCCATCTTTCATCCCACTGCTTGACAAACACTTACTAGAAGCAACAGAGAACAAAACAGATAAGGTCTCTGCCCTCCTGGAGCTTGTGGTTCGTGTGGGCAAAAGCAGATAAGAAATAAGTAAACAAATACACCAAGTCAATACAGATTGGGATGATTACTACAAGAAAATATCAACAGTGATGTGAGAGAGGGAGAGATAGAGGGAAGTATCTTGAATGGATGGTCGGAGAAGGTCACTTTCTGGAGGTGACACTAAGTTGGAAAAGTGACGGAGGAGAATGTGTCAGGTATTCGAATGGTCGGGGGAAGAATATACCAGGTTGAGGGAACAGACAGCAACGGCAAAGGCCCAAAGGCAGGACAGGGCAAAGTGTCTCTGGGGACTGGAAAGGAAGCCCCTATGACTGGAGCACGGGGAACAAGGGCGAGAGTGGGACAAAGTCAAGGGGGTGGATGGGGTCAGATCCCAGAGCACCTTATGGCCTGTGGCTACAGTCTTGTTCTCAATGTGATGGGCACTTGGGGAGGGATTTAAAAGAAAGGACAGGACTTGATGTGATTTTTACAGCATCACTCAGGCTCCTGTATAGGGCCTGGGTTATATGGGCCAGGTAGAAGAGCGTGGGGACCAGTTGGGGTGCTTTTCTGTGCCGTTCTTCCAGGAAAACAAAACCAGTGACTAGATGACCTTGAGAGGTCTACCCCGTTGCTGGGTCTCTGATTAGGTTTGTCTTCACCCTGTGTCCTGCCTTCCCTCACCAGGTTTGACTATGAGGGGCTAGAGCCCAAGACAACCTATTACATCATGAGGGACCTGGAGGCCCTGGTCACGGACAAGTCCTTCATCGGCCAGCAGTTCGCCGTGGGAAACCACGTCTACAGTGTGGCAAAAACAGACTGCTTTGAATATGTGGACCCCGTGGATGGCACGGTGACCAAGAAACAGGTACTTGCTAGGAAATCACCAGAATGGGCAAAGCCAGGGGCCAAAGTGTCCGACGGCTGGAGAGTTCTGTAGGGCTGCTCTGCTCTGAGTGCTTCATTAGACATATGAGAGCCTGCAGCCAGGAGAGAAGAAAGCCCTTGGTGAGGGTTACCTACCTAGTTAATTCATGGCAGAGGGTGCATTTGAACACAGCGTCCTGTCTGTCCAGTATTCTTTCTGCTTGTAACTGACAGGCTAATACGGCACATAGATAGACACCCAATATTTCCTTCTGAAATGTCTGCAGCCTGAGGGCTCATTGCAGATTCAGAAAAGGTTCCCAGGGCAAGATACTGCTTTTCCTTGGCAACCCTGTCAAGTGCAGGTGTGTTTCCCCTTTTATGACTGTATGTCATTGAGAATGATAGGAGTGTACCCAGATGGGTTTGTAGGGGAAGAAACAGTGGGAAAATTTGTCCCACAAAACCCAAAAGGAAGATTTATGGTGGAGAATGATTACAAAAGGTCAGTGACAAAATCAACAACTTCTGTCATGGTCTCATCTTTGCGAATTGTGTAAGAAAAGTTGAAAGCTACTACAGGTATTTTTTCTTCTCAGTTTGTGTGTTTATTGGCTGTGGCAAAAACCGACCACTCTAGGAGCACATTTCAACATTTACAGTTCAAATAAGACACTGAGTAATGTTAAGAAAAGTTCCATTCTAAAATCCCCAGATTCTTTTTTTTTTTATTCTTATGTTAATCCCCATACATTACATCATTAGTTCTAGATGAAGTGTTCCATGATTCATTGTTTGTGCATAACACCCAGTGCTCCATGCAGAATGTGCCCTCCTCAATACCCACCACCAGGCTAACCCACCCTCCCACCCCCCCTCCCCTCCAGAACCCTCAGTTTGTTTTTCAGAGTCCATCGTCTCTCATGGTTCATCCACCCCTCCGATTTCCCCCGCTTCATTCTTCCCCTCCCGCTACCTTCTTCTTTTTTTTTTCTTAACATATATTGCATTATTTGTTTCAGAGGTACAGATCTGAGATTCAACAGTCTTGCACAATTCACAGCGCTTACCAGAGCACATACCCTCCCCAATGTCTATCACCCAGTCACCCCATCCCTCCCACCCCACCCCCCACTCCAACAACACTCAGTTTGTTTCCTGCGATTAAGAATTCCTCATATCAGTGAGATCATATGATACATGTCTTTCTCTGTTTGACTTATTTCACTCAACATAATACCCTCCAGTTCCATCCACGTCGTTGCAAATGGCAAGATCTAATTCCTTTTGATGGCTGCATAATATTCCACTGTATATATATACCACTTCTTCTTTATCCATTCATCTGTCGATGGACATCTTGGCTCTTTCCACAGTTTGGCTATTGTGAAAAATCCCCAGATTCTTATCTTCTGGTACACTCTTCACCAAGAACAGACAACAAAATACATCAGAAGCTGTAGGATTCCAGGGACTAGATGTAATGGTAGTTACTGATCTTTTTATTTTGACTAATATTTTACATATAGTCTTTCTCTTGGGGTCCCTGACTTGTAGATGTTCTAAAGCCCGGAGCCCTCCTATTACTTTCTTCATATTCTCCCTCTGGTCTGCTGAGTTTCATGGTGGTCTTTCACCTCAGTCAGAATGTCATTAGTCTTTCATTCTAGAAAGCCTTCCATGGCTGGACAAATTGATGACTGCTTTACTTTGGGAAGGTGTAGGGTAGTTGATATAAGACTGGTTAAGAAGTTTGAAGAGCCAGGGCGTGCCTGGGTGGCTCAGTTGGTTAAGCATCTGCCTTTGGCTCAGGTCATGATCCCAGGGTCCTGGGATTGAGCCCTGCGTCGGGAGTCTGCTTCTCCCTCTGCCTGCCTGATTGTGCTCTTTCTCTCTCTCTCTCAAATAATAAATAATCTTTTTTAAAAAGTTAAAAAAAAAAAGAAGTTTGAAGACTCAGAAGCACATCCTCTCCCTGCCCCACTTACCAGTTATTTGACTTCAGGAAAGATGCCTGATTTCCTTGAGCCACAGTTCCTCCCTCATTTGTAGCACATCTATCTCACAGAGCTGTTTTAGAAAGGCAATGAAATAAAAGACACAAAAGCTCCCAGCGATCCTTTACACAGGGAGTACACACTACGTTTTTGGTAGTTGCATTTTGTTTCCCACGAGGATGCTTTTTTGTAGATGAGATTGAATCCTTTCCAAAATAACACTAGTGAATTTCGGAGATGTGAAGTCGGGAGCTCAGCACGTGGCATCTCAGAGCCTCGATGCCGCAGATGAATCTTTTTCAACTCTGTACCATATTCCTACTTCCATTTTGTAAAGGAACATTAGAACAAACATTTTGTAAATCCAAGGCTCATAAAATATGTGCTTTCTAAATTATTCTTGGGAGGTTTTTGTTCCCTGGTGGGGAAGGCTTGAAAACCATTCCTTGAAAAGATTATCTAGTCAGTGCTGGGTTCTGGACTCTGTCTGCTCCTGAGAAGCTTATCTGTTGAGCTAATTTGTTTTGTTGTTAAATCCACTAATACTCTACCTTGTTTCTTCCCCAATGCACTCACCATTCGTATCCTTTTTTTCTTGGCTCTTTTAACAGTTCACATCAGGCTAACTCCACAGCTAGATCTCAAGTTCAGACATCTATTTATTCCACGTCCCCTCCCCTGCAACCCTCAATATTGGTTTCCATTTTTACTCTGGAACTTACTATTTTTTCTTTCCATACCCTTTCATATTAGCTCACATGTGGCCATAAATAGTAAATGCTATCAGGAGCTGCTCTGGGGAGTTTCTTTAGCAACAAAGGAAGATTGTTGTTCATTTTCCCAGATTCTAAGACCCAAGTGACAGTTTATTAGCTGGTGGTCCTGAGTCACCCTGGAGCTTCTCCGCTGCTCTGGGTTTGGCTCACTGAGGATTTGGGGAGGCAGTTAACACTCAGCGGCATCCTCATTGTCAGCGAGTCATGTATGGTTCTTGCAATTGGTCCTGTTGGCACAGAGGGAGAGTTCCTGCATTGTGGGGCTGTTGGTAAACTTCCACCACCGAGGCCCACATCTCAGCACCCCCTGAGAAGTCAGAAGTCATCAGCACTTGGTTCCAGGGATGGTTGAGTCTGGGCACACTTCATGTGACATTGTTGCAAAGCAAGCACCATCTATCTACTCCTAAAAGACATATTTGAATTTAAATGAACATGTATTATTTTTAAATAGCCATAAAGCACTTTGGCACATTCATTCAATAGATATTTCTGGAGAGCCCACTAAATGCATAGTAATTGGTTTTTGTCATGGGGCATTATGGGGTTTTTTTGTTTGTTTGTTTTAGAGAGGGAGAAGGGGAGCTGAGGGGCAGAGAGAGAGAGAATCTTAAGCCTAGCATGGAGCCCAACGTGGGGCTCGATCTCATGACCGTGAAATCATGACCTGAGCTGAACTCATGAATTGGACACTTAACTGACTGAGCCACCCAGGCACCCCTGGAGCAGTTTTTTTAATATAAATGTATAACAGCTTTATCGAGATATCATTCTCACACCATCCAATTTACCCATGTCAGGTATAGAATTCAGTGGTTTGTAGTATATTTATACAATTGTACCATCATTACCACAATCAGTTGTAGAACATTTTTGTCACCCCCAAAAGCAACTTGTACTTGTGAGCTATAATCTCCATTTCCAACCCTGGCAATCCCTGACCTACCTTCTGTCTCTCTGGATTTGCCTATTCTGGATATTTCACATAAATGGGACCATACACTATGTCGTCTTTTGTGACTGGCTTCTTTCACTAAGCAGAGTGTTTCTAGGGTTCATCAATGTGGTACCATGTATCAGTATTTCATTCTTTCTTATTGGCAAATAATGTCCCATTGTGTGGATAGACCACATGTTGTTTGTCCATTCTTCAGCTGATGGACATTTGGGCTGTTTCCACTTTTTTTTTTTTTTAAGATGCATTTATCTTAGAGAAAGAGAGCATCCACAAGTGGGGGTAGGGACAAAGGGAGAGGGAGAGAGATAATCCTGAAGCAGGCTCCCCACTGAGCATGGAACCCTACACGGGGCTCCATCCCAGGACCCTGAGATCATGACCTGAGTGGAAACCAAGAGTTGGCCGCTTAACTGACTGAGCCACCCAGGCGCCCCGAGCTGTTTCCACTCTTTGACTATTATGAATAGTGCTGCTGTGAATATTCATGTAAAGCTTTTGTGCAAACATAGAGTTTCTGTTATTGTGGCTGTGTAGCTAGGAGTGGAATTGCTAGGTCAAATGGCGACTCTAGGTCTAACCTTCCAAGAAACAGCCGTATGGTCTTCAAAAGCAATTGTACTGCTTTCCGTCCCCCCCAGCAGTATGTGAGGTTCCAATTTCTGTACGCTTTTGCCAACCTTTGTTATTATCTGTCTTTTTGGTTAGAGACTACTGTAATTTAAAATAATCTACTAAATTATATATTATTTTAAAATTAAGGTGGAAGAGACTTGACCTATAAGGACAAACAAAGTATGCCTTGCCTAGCAAAACCCGAAGGAAACATTATAATGCAGCATCTCTGTTTGCTGTGGGAAGCTGATTGCTACGGCTTCTCCAGTGTTGTATTGTGTTGGAGTCAAGCAGACATAGATTTGAGGGTTGGCTTTGTCACTGCCTTGATTGGTGACTTTGGGCATATTACTTAATTCCTCTTTTGTCAACTTGTTGGGGCGGGCAGATGGCATGTTGTTAATAATTATCATATAGGGTTATAGAGAACGTGTGAGGAGAAAGTCCTATAAAGCCCCAGGCACAGTGGCTGGTATCCATTTGATATTCAAGAAATACCAGTTGCTTCCGCCTTGCCAGAATCCTCAACTTGACTGCATATCAGTTTGAGGAAAGGGTGTGAGTGGCGTTCAAGTGTACAGCCTTGAGATCAGCAAGTCTTGGGTTTGAATCAGCTCTGCCGTCTCCTTGCTGGGCGATCTTAGGAAGTTACTCAACC